TAGGTAGTAACATGAGCAGCTTATCAAAAATTTCAGGTGCTTCTATTTCAGTTCTCAACCTATGTACATTTAAAATATCTCTGCTTAGAGTAGTTACTGCTCATAATGCATTACGGGACCTTTTTAGGTGGAAGCCAGCATCTTGGACATCTTGGATAGTAAATAAGCAATTAATGTTGGTATGGTAGGTTTAACCCAAATTAAATTTATGATACAGTGATAATTAACTGTGGTGTTATAATCTTTCTTCCTGTGCTGTACAACTTGGTATATGTGTGAAACACATGGCTTGCAGGGTTTGTAAGAAAATGCTTTTGCTAAAAGTAAATGCTATTTCTGGAAAAATACTCAGGGTGATGTGACATATAATCTTTCACTTTGAGTTTGTTGAGGATTTAACCTGTGATTAAACTATGCTTATGCCTTTGGCTGATTTATGAATGCATTATTTCCAGAGTAGATAAAAGATTATAAAACTAGCCTGATGTAGTTTTAAACCTGACACACCAGTCCTCAAAAGACAAAAATAGGAGAATTTTTTCAAGTTTAAGGCCAGCCTGGACCAGAGTGACAGTGAACCCCTGCACCCTCAGAGAGAGACAGATTTTAAAACTACCTTAGTTTGTGATAGGTTGTAATAAAAAAAAAAAAAAAAAAAATCCAGTGCATATTTGCTTTGCTCAGCTTTCCTGTCCCATTTCTCTCATAATTATTTACTGAAAGTGCCTTGTTTACCTTGTATATAGCTTATATTGCAGTTATACTACCTTACTCCAGGCTTTATTAAAGAATTCCACAACATAATGTTAATTTAAATTTCATTGAGCAGTGAATTGGAGATGGCTGTACAGAAGAGTAAAAGATTCAGGATCTTCACTTGCATTCAACCAAGGGGTGGGTAAAACATTATTGTATGGTAATCTCTAACCAGAGAGTGGTGGGGGGTCTGTTGCTATTCTGTAGGTAGCCATGCAGAATACACAGGCACAGAATAGCACTTATACAGGCAACTCTTTGTACAAACAGTTCTATTAAATTACAACTACATCTCCTGAAGAAAATTTCCTGCTTGGTAGTCCCATTTCTTGTAATAACCTAAGAAACTTGGCATAGAAAGCTGGCTTCACCCCCAGGAAGCCTTTTAAATAATCTTAAAATTATTTCCTTTAAAAGGTATTTTATCCAAGCTGGGTATGGTTACTCACACATACAGTGCCAGCAGTCAGGAGGTTAAGGCAGGAAGATAGCAAATAAGTTCAGTTGTTCCAATCTGAAAGAACTGTGTAGAAACTGGTTTGTTTGTGTTTTCTGAATCCTAGTAATGTATAAGTCATAAAACAAAGCAATGCCCTTTGTTTCTCCCCTCCAGGTGCAGCTTCTAGTTGGGGCTGCTCATCACTTAAGAGTATTGTTTGCTTCTGATCCACTCCTGGAAATTCTAATTCAGAAGGTGTGAAGCAAAATCACTTCGTCTGCTTTTTGCTTTAAGTTTTAGAGATGTTTCAGGTGAACATTTTTCTAGTTGTGTGCCACTGATCGCTTACATTTTAATTACTAGTCCACATAGAATCTAAGTTTAGTTCATACTGATTTTTGGCCTTACAAAGATGAACCTAGAAGGTAGCTAGAAGAAAATTATAGTCATAACTTAGATTTAAAGAGGAACTAGCTCAAATTCTTCGGCATTGCAAAGATGAAAAAGCCAATATACAGAGGGAGACAATGGAATTTGCTAGAAATAGTAGCAGATGGAAATACTAGATAAAAAACTCTTGACTTGAACTCTTTCTGCAGTAGTATCTGGAAACTAGTACCTCCCTAGAAATGCTGTAAAGCTACTCAGTGATCTGGATATGGTCACCAAAAACCCAGAGTTCACTAATGCTTCTGAAGTTTTACATCAGCACACATGAACTCCTCATTCTTTTAAGCTTCTAGGCAGAATTTATTATTGACATTATTGTTAGAAAGTATAGGCATTACCCAAAAGTTTTTTGTTGAGTTTTTAGTAAATACAGAAAGTTGTGACAGGGGAATACCTAAGTTTGCTATTGAAGGTTGTTGAGAACAAGCAATTTATTAGTCTCAGTTTTAGTTAAAAATGTAGACCTGACTAGGAGCCTATGTTTAAAAAGAGGATTGTGTGCCTAGACTTGGAATTCATTTATATAAAGGAACAATGTATTAAGTATAATTAGCTTTGGGGTTTTTTTTTTTTTTTAAATAGTTCTGTAGTTCAGTTAGATTAAGAAAAAAATCTAGAACAGCTCTAGAGATGTAGTTAGTGATAGAACACTTACCTAAGATTCAAACCTCAGCATCTCAATTAAAAAAAAAATAAAGGTGGGGGTGTGTGTAGATGGAAGGAAAGTCCATCTTAGGTGTGATTATTGCACAGACATCATATATCAGGCTCTTTTGGTTGTTACATCTATTCCTGTTGCTCTATTATATCCTGAAGGTACTTTGATTCTCCTTGTCTTCTGGAGTTCCATAAGGTGTTTCATCCACTTGAATCAGCTCTCTTCAAAGAGCTTTTCTATATGGAGCCAATCTACCCAAAATTTTCTGTTTCTATCTCATTGACCATTCCTATAATCAGTTGTAACTGTGCAGGTTGCCTTTTGCAGTGATCAGAAGTTCTGGGGACTGGAGAGATAGCTCAGTCATTAAATTTAAGACCCCCCCCCCCACCCAGTACCCATGTGAAAAGCCAGGCACAGTGGTACACACTTGTATTCTGAGTGCTGGGGCTAACTCTAGCATACACATCAAGGTTTACACACACACATGCATATATAACTGTGTTGCACACACATAAATACACACATACCAAAGAAAATTCTTTTAGTAAATAGGGAGAAAGAAGCAATGAATGTTGGCCAGACAACTAACAGTCCCTGCTACAATTAGCTCTGAGAAATGTAATACTAATGTTAGGAAAATAAACTTTCAGGGACTTTTTAAAAAGAAAACTGTTAAATTGAGCATAAATTTAAAATATACCCAAACTCTATCATGTGTTTGATAGATCTAAAAGCAATTAACCTCTTGGGTAGACTTTCTCAGCAAGACTCCTTGGAAACAACACTTTGTATGTTTTAAAATCTTGAAAAAAAAAATGACTTCAGAACAATGGGGGGGGGGAAGACATCCTACTTTAAATCCTGTTTCTGTTTGGAGACAGAATAAAAGTAACCCCAGAATTAACAGGAACAAGAGTCCCTTATTAGATGATGTATACTAGACATGAACATATTAAAATACTTAAGTCATTTAGGGTCTAAGAGGAAAAAGATAGATTAATACAGAATGTGAAGTAGCTAAATATGCATTGTGGCAATGAATCACAGTAACTCCAGATATATGAGGCCTTCCCTGGGGGAAAGGATAGTTAAATGTACATTGATTCTGCCTATATTTCATCTATTTAAATAAAAAAAGAATGATGGCTGGAGAGACAGCTTAGCCATAAAGAGCTCTTTCTGCTTTTCCAGAAGACCAGAATTCAGTTCCCAGCACCCACACCTTATAACCACCTGTTAGTCCAGCTCCATTGGATCTGATGGCCCCTTCTAGCCTCCATAGTCACCTGTACACACATGGTACACCTACACATAAATAGGTTGTGAGCCTAGCCTTTAATGTTGAGCCATCTCTCTAGCCCCCAAAATAATTCTTTTAAAAAATAAAAAGATGGAGCCAGGCACGGTGGTACACGCCTTTATCCCAGGCTTGGGAGACAGAGGCAAGCATTCCTCTGTAAGTTTAAGGCCAGCCTGGTCTACATAGTAAGTTTCAGGACAGCTAGGACTGTTACACAGAGAAACTCTGTCTCAAAAAAAAAAAAAAAATAAGTAAATAAAAATAAATGGATGCTGGGCATGGTGGTGCATACCTATAGTCCCAGCACTCAGGAAACAATCAGGAGGACAACCTGGTCTACAGAGCATTCGAGTTCCAGGACAACCAGGGCTACACAGAGAAACCCTGTCTCAACACTACCACCTGCCAATAAATAAATAAAAGATGGATAAAATTGTAATGTCTTGAAAAACTTGGGAGAGGGAAGCAGTAACATCATACTTAATAGTAGACTAGTATATACATGTGTGGGATTGAAATGTTGCTGCTAGATGAGATAATTTTTTAATGCAGCTTTCTTAGTATCTGCTGTTCTCATGTGGTATCATTTTATAAACATTTCCTGAATACCTTGGTTTTTGTTTTTGTTTTTGTTTTTTTTTTAATTTACTGTAAAGAGGAATGCATTCACAAGTTGCTATTTAGGTGAGAAAATCCTGATTTTTAGCTTCATGTATCTATGAATTTCAAATTTGGAAAACTGCAGCTTTTGAGATTTTAGTTTCTCCTTTTCCTTTCTTAATTACTTAAAGTGTCTCCTGACTCCTAGCTGAGAGAAAACAAAGCCCTACAGAGATTCTGTGTGAAAAGAAAGCCAGTTGTGCTGGCCCAGGGCCAGGCTGTGCACCTCTTTGACCTAGCCTCTTCAATCTGAATTCCTCAGGGGGCAGTGATTGCAAACAACTCCCTTTGGCTTTAGCAGTAAGCATGGAGTGCTGTTGAAACCAGCTAATGTAACAAGGTCTGTTAGCCTGTGGATTTGAGCTCAGTGAGGCTTCCTTTGAGCCTTTTATCATACTGCACTTTCAGGCATCCCTTGGGAAGACTAGTTTACACTCTGAACCAATAATGGATCAGGGACCATTTTCTTTTGTATAGTAGTGGAAATGCCTTTGGCACTCTGGTATTAAATAACTGCTTATTTGAACATATTGTACAGTGACTTAGCCTTTTCCACCCAGTAATGGTTCCCACTGAAGCTATTATACTCACTTTAACTTTTACAGGAGGGACTATGAAAGGAAATTGAAATCTCACAGATTATGCTTTATATTATATTCATTGCTTATGCAGTTGTCTTATGTTTTGGTTTTTATATCTCCCACTCTGTACCCCATTTCCCCCTTTGCTTTCAGGTGAAGGCCTCCCACAGGTATATTACTTTGGACCATGTGGGAAGTACAATGCCATGGTACTGGAGCTCCTGGGCCCTAGCTTGGAGGACTTATTTGACCTCTGTGACCGAACATTTACTTTGAAGACGGTGTTAATGATAGCTATCCAGTTGGTGAGTTGATATGCTATTCCAGAAGATGCATAGACCCCTTGCCCACATCCTTGTGGCCTTTTGGTAATGTATTAGCTGTAGTGACATCTGAATTAGTTTTTACAGACTTAATGGCAGTCTAGATAAATCTAGCAGACTTTTGACATGAACTATTGCAACTGCTGCTTTAGCTGGTTCCTATGTATAATTTGGCCACAAAGATTCTTGGCCAGTATGTAATATGACAAACAACTAAGACAAATTCTTGGTCACACAACTTAGAGGGTTACAAACGGGTTAACTGAGAGAAGTCACAATGTATCTACAGTTTGTTCTATTTTAAGAATTTGCACCTTGAAGCAGAATCTTTTCTGTAACTGAAGTAGAGGAATATAATTTACATTAGGAAGAAAAAGGACGAATAGGTGGAATGCACATTCAAGTAATTGCTTCAGCATTTTATTTATAGGTCTTAGGCACATAGCTGTAAGGTTTTGTCATGCCCTCCTTCTCTCACTGTTGAAAACTAGAAAAGATTGAAGGTACTACCCCCAGCGCTAACCTTTATTCAAAATCATGTGACTGAGAGCTTTAATTCTCTGGCATATTATATACTTTGGGGCTGGCCAAGAAGCTTTGCAGCTAAATTGCATACTAGTTCCAGCTTAAGCAGTTAGAACAATCTCTTTGAGAAGTTTTTTAGACCCTCAAGGGAAGAATTCAAACGTTGGGTGTTTTTTGTTTTTATTTTGTTTTGTTTTGTTGAGATGTTCTCACCAGCTTAGACTGGCTTTGAACTTTAGATCGTCTTGCTTCAGCCTCCTGAGTGCTAAGGTGGGTGTGTACCACCACTCCAGCCTTCAGGTACATCTTATTTTGAAGTAGTAGTGGTCTCACCATCATCCATAGCAATTTGGAAACACTTGAAAATTGACCAAAATCTAAATATTTTAAGCCTCCCTTTTATACTATGTAGAAATGCTTTGTAGATAGAATTATTTAATGAAATTTGAGACAGTTACAGTTACTTATTTCAAGCTGTGGTCACTATAGCATAAAGACTGTATGTCCTCCTTATTTCTGTAATACCAAGATTTGAATTACAGAGTCCTGAGCAGCTGAAGACACATAGTGTGGGCAGGAGGTGAAGTGGCAGCTGTACGTGTCTCAGAGTGCACGTTGGAAGTTACAATATATAAAGTAAAATATTATCATTTTATTTTCAATTGTACTGTCTCATTTTTCCTCCTAATCTTGATAGTTCTTACATATTTGTGACAAAAAGTACTAGGGATGGGGTATGCTACAGTTATCAGTTAAGAGCGGCTACTGCTCTTGCAGAAAACCTAAATTTGGTTTGCAGCACCCACATCAGACAATTAACACTGCCTGCAACTCCAGTTCCAAGGAATCTGACAGCTTCTGAGCACATGCACACAACTGATACATGTAAACTCCGGAAGGCACACATACATATGAATAAATAAAATAGCAAAACAAACCTTCAGGTGTAGTTTTGGTTTGTAAGTCAATAAAGTGGGAAGTAAATAAGAGATGGTTTTGTTATTGTTGTGTTATTTTTTTTGGAGACAGGGTCTTACTATATAGCCCTGGCTGGCCTGGGCTATATAAAGCAGACTGGCCTTGAATTCATAGAAATCCGTCTTGGATTAAAGGCATAGAGCAACATACCCAGACAAGAGATGAGTTTTGGTTTTTTTTGTTTGTTTGTTTGTTTTTGTTTTTTGTTTTTTGTTTTTTTTTTTTTTTTCTTTTCTTAGTTTCTGAAACCTTATGCTGAGTCAGGGACAATGTCATATATACAGTGCCAGCTACTTAAGAACCTAGGTAAGAAGATTAAGTTCAATAGCTCAAGGCCTAACCTAGACAGTGTAGCGATACAGAAAACTAGGAGGAGGAAAAAAAATAAAACTGGAAAAAAAAAATATTTTGGGGCCAGTGAAATGACTCATCAGGTAAAGGTGCTTGCCACCAATCCTGACAACCTAAATTAGTTCCCAGGCCCACATGGTAGAAAGAACTGACTTCTGCAAGTTATACTTCGACCACCACACCATGCCAATGAATGGATGAATGGATGGATGGACAGACAGACAGACAAGCATAATTTTAAGAAACATTTTGAGTCAGGTATAATGGCATGTGCCTTTGATCTCAGCCTTAGGAAGCAGAGACAGGCAGAGCTCTGTGAGTTCTGGGTCAGCCAGAGCTATATAATGAGAACCTGTCTCAAAAGAGAGTGAGGAGAAACATTTTGGGTCTCCCCCCACCCCCAACATGCTTATTTCAAGGTATTTCCGTTATGTTTTTTCTTTCTTTTAGCTTTCTCGAATGGAGTATGTACACTCAAAGAATCTCATTTACCGAGATGTCAAACCAGAGAACTTCTTGATTGGCCGACAAGGCAATAAGAAAGAGCATGTAATACACATAATAGATTTTGGACTGGCCAAGGAATACATTGATCCTGAAACCAAAAAACACATACCTTACAGAGAGCACAAAAGCCTAACTGGAACTGCACGATACATGTCTATCAACACGCATCTGGGCAAAGGTGTGTTTAGAGGGGCAGGCCATGTGAACTACTTTCTTTTCCAATAGCTATTTTTGTGCATTACATTGTGCGCTACAACTTGTACCATTTGTTGTATCACAAGGTAAGTGACTTTTTTGTATTTAAAAGATTGAAATGGTAAGTTAGTGATGTTCCCAAATACAAGTCTTAATTCATTCAACTGTGTTTTCTAATGCTTCATTCCTCAGTAGTTTAAGAACATGAGTTGTTGCAACAATATAATAGTAATTGAATAGGTTTAATAATGTGACTTGTATTTACACATGTATGACAGGACAAAAGGAGAATATCAGGCTTGTGCCTATGTTAGTGACCAGGTTTCACTAAAGTATGAATTAAGGAGCTGAAGAGATAGCTCAGCAGTTAAGAGCACTGGCTGCTCTTACAGAGTCCCAGAGTTCAGTTCCCAGCACCCATCTGGCAACTCACAAACATCTGCTACTCCAATTGTAGGGGACCTGATCTCTCTGGCACCAGGAACACAAAGTGGTACACAGATGTACTATTCAGGCAAAATGTGACATTTAGCCAAATTCCATGTGGTAGTTATCTTTATTATTCTTCAAGGAATGTTTTGAACATCTCCCCTGTGTGATAAGTATTTCGTCATCTTTTTTGAGACAGGGTAACTCACAGATATCTCCTGCCTCTGCCTCCCCAGTGCTGGGATTAAAGGCATCACCAACACCCAGCAATATTTCATCATCTTGATGTGCTGCCGTTGCCATTAAATTATCTCCAGAATGGGATTTCATGAGGTTCAAGTTTTCTTCAGGTCAACTCTAACATGATGTAACACTTTTGTTGTTGTTGTTGTTGTTGTTCTCTCCGTTTTGTAAAAAAAAAGTTTTCTCTGTGTGTGTGTGTGTGTGTGTGTGTGTGTGTGTGTGTGTGTGTGTGTGTGTGTGTGTTGGTTTGTTGGCTTGATACAGGGTTTCTTTGTGTAGCCTTGCCTGTCCTGGGACTCAGTTGTTGACCTGACTTGTCTCAAACTCAGAGATCTGCCTGCCTCTACCTGTAGACGGACTTTTCTTTCCCACCGGCCAGTTCCCAAATAACCCACATGGAAACTGAATACTAATTATAAATGCTTGGTCAGGCTTGTTATTAGCTAACTCTTATATTTTAAATTAATATATATTTCTTATCTGTACTTTGCCATGTGGCTTGATACCTTTTCTCAGTTTGGCATGCCCATATTGCTTCTCTCTGCCTTCTTGAAATTCCACCCAGCATTATCATTTTGGCTCTCCCACCTAACCTTATCTTTTCCAGGTACTGGCCAGTCAGCTTCTTTATTAAACCAATTTCAGTGATACATAGTCACACAGTGTAAAGGAATAGTCCACATCTGCCTCCCAAAGTTTTGGAATAAATTGCATGTACCACCATGACTGGAAAGAACTCTTATAATTGAGTGTGGTAATGCACATCTTTAATCTTAGCACTATAGAAGCAAAGTCAGAGGGCAGATGCAGAGTTCAGGACCAGCCTCATCTGCAAAGCGAGTTCCAGGCCAGCTAGAGCTATATAGTGAAACTCTGTCTCAAGCAAAACTCACAAACTGGTGAATTTTTTAATATCAAGAGGTTTCTTGTAACATACAGGAGGCAGATACAAAAATGGAAGCAGATGGAATTCTGTGAGTTCAAGGCCAGCCTAGTTAGTCTATAAAGCAAGTTCCAGGACAGCCAGGCCTGTTACACAGAGAAACCTTGTCTTGACCTTTCCAACAAAAAAAGTTGGAAAGGTGTGACACTGTGTGAGAAACTCCCCCAGTGTGTTTTCCCTTTCTGCTCTGTTCACCTTACATACTCTGTTTTTGTTATTTCTTATGTTCTGTTAACAAATGTTTGACTACTTGTTTTCAATCATAAGCATTATTTTATTGCAAATTCCAGGAAACCCACATAAACAAAACTGTCTGGAGATCTTGATGTTTTATTGCATTCATTTAAGGAGGTTTCCCCCCTACCCACTTTATTTTAATACTAAAGATTTTGACTCTAGGCACAGAATTATGCCCCAGTCATAGGTGTCTTCTTTTTCTATTGGGAACTGCCTTTTCAAAACCCTTCTTGTCAGGCTCAGTGGCACATTCCTGCAATCTCAGTACTTTATAAGCAAGAGGTAAGAGGTTCATCAAAAGTTCACGGCTTGGGTGAGCTTCATAGTAAGTGCCAGGCCAGCCTGGGGTATCAAGTAAGACATCTTTCTCAAAAACAAAACAAAACAAAATTCAAGTACTATTTACAAAGTTGCCTTTTCCAGAAGGGGGTAGTTGAAGAAGATGACCTGGAAGGTGTTGGGGATAGAAAGAGTGTTTTGGAAGGCAAATATGAAGTAGTAGCAAAGTACAATGGTATGTACATGTGAAAGAGATACAATAAGTTTTTGAGTTGAAATATCTTCATGTACCCTGTAGAATACTATTCATTCTTTGTTAAAATATTTCTTTATTCAATAATGTGTGTGTGTGTGTGTGTGTGTGTGTGTGTGTGTGTGTGTTTGTGTGCGCGTGCGTGTGCGTGTGTGTAAAGTCTGTCCTTATTGGGGTAGGACAGATAGCTGAGAAGTTAAGAGCAGTAATTGCTCTTCTCGAGGACCTGAGTTCAATTCTCAGCAACCACTTGGTGTCTCGGAACCATCTATAATGAGATCTGGTTTCCTCTTCGGCCATGGAATTTTGACCCAGTTTACAGAATCACTACTCATTCATTTTTATGCAAGTTTCACATAATTTGACGCAGCAGTTATGCATGTTGTGCTGTACTTTTGGATTTTACATTCTGCTCAAAAAATCAGAATCAAGTTGAAAGCAGTACTTAGCAATGTGTTGTGATGCATTCCTATAATTCCAGGAGGTAACAGGACCGTGAATTTTAGATTTTAGGCTGGCCTGTCTTAAAAAGTGAAGCAAATTGAAGGTAGTCTCTTAGTTCTCCTGTGTAATCCTCCCTTCTCCTTTTTGAGTCAGGGTCTTATGTAGCTCAAGCTGACCTTGAACTCACAGAGATCATCTGCCTCTTGAGTAGTAGGACTAGATGTGTGCACCACCAACCTCTTTTGGTGAAACTCTAAACTCAGCTAGAACAAAAAAGTAAACACATAATTTTAGCACTTGAGAAGTGGAGGCAGGTGGATCATCCTGAGCTATATAAGATTTGAGGCCACCTTGTGCCACATGAAACCCTAGCTCTGCAAAACAAAGACAATAAGTAAGATGTCTGATGAGTCATAACTAGTAAATTCAAAGTAGATGCATTTACTAGTATGCAGTTAGCATTAAAAGAATATGTTTTCTCATATGAAGCCACACATTTCTGCAAACTTTTCTGCAGTTAGCAATTTATCTTCCCATTTCAAAGGAGAGCAAAAGCTAGCAACTTGTTTTAGGAATGTTCTAAGGATGACACCTTGTTTTATGTATTCATAGACAATACCTTAGTAGTAAACTTGCTGAGTTTTTAAGGTGGTATGGGGTACATGGAGCAAGTGTGAACCAAGAAGCGATTGTTTTCTGCTGACTCAATACTGAACTGTTGTTTTTGTGATGAATTAAAATTGCTAAACAATGAATAGTGGGGCCGTGGTGGCATACACCTTTAATCCCAGCACTTGGAAGGCACAGAGGCAGGTATATCTCTCTCTGAATTCAAGGCCAGCCTGGTGTACAGAATGACAGCCAGGGCTACACAGAGAAAACTTGTCTAAACATGTGTGCTAGGCAGTCTGTAGTTTGTATCTTTGCAGGCCTAGCCAGTGGGGACTGTTTGAAAGTAGCTTCAACTGCTTGGTCTGCTACTCACTTTCCCTTATGGTAATCGAAGGTTAACTGCAGCTCATATGCTACAAGTCCTGATTCGTTTATGTATTATCTCACTTCAGATAGGTGGTAACAGTGTTCAGTAAGGAGTGGTTTGCCCACCGTCTAGCATTGGGCCTTGGTCTTAATTTACAATCTGCTCTTCATTTGCTATTTACTTGTTAGCAACAAAGGAAGGCCACCCACTGTTTTTCAGTTTTGATCTAAAATATTCCTGGCTTAGGCATATACAGATTAGTGAGCAGAGCCTTTCCAGAGCAGAAGGGCTTGGGGGGATTCCTTGATTTTAAAGCTCTTCTGCTGTAATAACTGCAAACATAATGTGTGATCTGTCTTCCCTCTTAGAGCAAAGCCGGAGAGATGATTTGGAAGCCCTAGGCCATATGTTCATGTACTTCCTTCGTGGCAGCCTGCCCTGGCAAGGACTCAAGGTATCCTTGAAAGTGCTTTGTCTCTGCTCAGTAGATAATGAAAGGGCTGCTAGCTAAAAAGCACCAAGGGGAAGGTTGGCTTCAGAGATGAGAGGCAGGGATTAGTGACATTAGTCACATTGTCAGTGTTCACCTGGGCTTTGGGAGCTCCAGTTTGTTCTCATTTGGCCTCCTCTCCTTCTTATCTCAACCCTGCCTCTTTGTGCTTGGATTTTCCATAACCCTTGCTCTCATCCCCCCCAGCCTTGGTGTTGCTGCTTTTCTCTGCATGCTGGTGTCCCCCCTCCACTATCATTATGTAGCAGGAGGAGTGTTTCCAGGGTATCAGGGAAAATCTAGAACAAATTGATGACAGCAGCTGTTACACATTTACCAAAAAAGCCAGGAGGGTTTTTTTCATCTCCTAAGGTGAACTGGAAAATCATTATTCATCCTACATAGGCAAAGGACTCACCTTAACTAAAATAGCAGAAAAAAAAATCAGATTTAACATTGCTGTGCAAATACATTATTGAATAAGTAACTTTTCAAATAATAGCCATGTCTTGCAAACATATAGTTTTAGTCACTTTCTTTAGGTAAATGGTATATAGTGCCTGTGAGTAAACTATTATTAACATAATTAATATAGTTATAAACATAATTACTCTGTGGCCGTTACTAGGAAACTGAAGCTTCTTTTTCTTCTTTTCCTCTCCCCTCCCCCTTTTCTCTGTGTATCCCTGGCTGTCCTGGCACTAGCTCTGTAGACCAGTCTGTCTCAAACTCACAAAGATCCGCCTGCCTCCACCTTCTGCGTGCTGGGATTAAAGGCATGGGCTGATACCACCTGGCAAAAACTTAACCTTCTAACTCTTCCCAAGGCTCTTTACATAGTTAGATATAATGTATATCTTCAGTTGTAATTTATTTCAACATATTAGCATGGAAAGAATCTTAATCTGTCATTTGAGTTATTCCTATACCTCCTTCCTCTGAGTAGGTAAAATAATTCATTTTCCTATGCTTTCTAGGACATTCTTTCTGATTGGACACAGGGCCTTGAACATGCTAGGCTAGTGTATTTTTTTTTTTTCTCTAAGTTTTAGCCAGAGCTCCATTTTCTAAAAAAAAAAAAAAAGTTCTTAAATTTCTCTCCTGATACCTCTCATCCATTATCATCCAGTCATGTATGTCTTCTCATTGATAGTGACTTGTTGGAAATAGCTACACATCCTGCTTGCTGATTATGTAGCCAAACAGTCCATTAGTATACAATCTTGTTACATGCTTGGAACTCTTGTGGACCGTGCAGCCCCATCTTAGTGGTAGTACTGGATTTAGAATCTCTCCACTTTACTTTTGCTTTCTGTTACTTAAATCTGGGTGAAGTAGGCTGGCTAGAGCCTAATGAAGAGTCCAAGGTCCAGAAACTTCCTGTATGCAGTCCTGAGTATGCCATTCTTGGACTGCTTTGACCCTCTGACACACACTTCTTTGTTAGCAATACCTATTCTGCAGGTGACTTTTATTATGTCTGGAAAGGTTTTGTTTGTCACTAAGCTATATCCTCAACCCTAGAAAACCTTCTTGCCCTTTTGTTCTTTGCAGCTTGACAATATGTATGTATATGTAGTTTTTTTTCTCCTTTGAAATAGGAAAATAAATTACTAACTACAGAAAAGTTCACGAAAGTGTGTGACTTTATCTGAGAAAACATATTCTTTGGATATCAACTAATAGAAACTGGAACTGGGGTATGGAGAGATGGCTCAGCAGTTAAAGAGCATTGGCTGTTCTCCCAAAGGTCCTGAGTTCTTTCCCATGAATCACATGGTGGCTCACAACCATCCATAGTGAGACTGATGCCCTCTTCTGACATAAAGTTGTACATGCAGGTAGAGCACTCACATACATACATACATACATACATACATATATATATATATATACATACATACATACATACATACATACATACACACACACACACACACACACACACACACACACACACACACTTTAAAAAACCTGGAACTGATCATAGAGGGAGAAGGCTGAGTCACTATTAGATCTAAGTGGCCATGGGAGTTTTCTAATAGAAGCTGCCACAATCTGTAAAATAAAATACTTCTGCATAACGTTTTGTTATGTCCTTCTCATGTGAGATTACTATACATATTTTCAAGTGAAACTTTCAAGAACTCAGCAGAGGTTTGTGTACATTCTTATTTGCTAAAGAGAAAAAAAAAATTAAGATCCATTAACAGTTTCTACTAGTTTGAATGGAAATAACTATTGTGGTGACTAGAGAGATGCCTCAGTGATTTAAGAGCATGTACTGCTTGCTCCTGTAGGCAACCCAAGTTCATTTCCTAGCACCCACATCAGTTAGCTCACAGCCACCTGTAACTCCAGCTGCACGGGAATGGTGGAATATGGGCATATATCCCACATATAGATACACACATACATACATAATTGAGAGTTTTCTTTCTTTACTTTCTACAGGCTGATACATTAAAAGAGAGATATCAAAAAATTGGTGATACCAAAAGGAATACTCCCATCGAAGCTCTCTGTGAGAACTTCCCAGGTAGGATGCTGAAAGGATAATACAGCCAGTGTGACTGACACTTTGAAGTAGGTAATGTCACAGTATCTATAAATACTAATAGGTGTTGGTCAGATAATTTATATTTCTTTTTATTATTTTTCAGCCCAAGGAAAGTATCACTTTTATTTGGTCCATAAAGAAAACATTAGTGTCAAGTAATCTGTACAGATATCTCCTGTGTAGCCCAGAGCTTAACCTCTGGGGAGGCATTCAGCTAACAAGCATGGCTTTTTACCTTTTTCTTAACAGAGGAGATGGCAACCTACCTTCGATATGTCAGGCGACTAGACTTCTTTGAAAAACCTGATTATGAGTATTTACGAACCCTCTTCACAGATCTGTTTGAACGGAAAGGCTACACTTTTGACTATGCCTATGATTGGGTTGGAAGGCCTATTGTAAGTATCCTTTTTTTTTTTTTTTTTTTTAACTGAATGTTGGTGATCCATGCCTTTAATCCCAGCACATGGGAGGCCGAGACAGGTGGATCTCAGTGAGTCCAAGTCCAGCCTGGTCTTCAGAGTGAGTTCCAGAGCAGTCTAGGCTATTATACAGGAAAAACCTTGTCTCGAAAAGCAAAACAACAATAAAATTCTCAGACTATTACTGCCCCATCTTTTTACTTGCAGTCCTTCTGCTTACATCTTAGAGGGGAAATTGCTTGATTACCAACCTTTACCAACTAACACTGTAGGTTGCTGTCATTAGACAAATGAGTTAAATGTTTTTTGGATTATGACTTGTGGGGATAAAGAGATGGTTCATCAGGTAAGAGCATGTACTGTTCTTACAGAGAACCCAAGGTCAGTTACCAGGGTCTACATGGTGCCTGACAACCATCTGTATCTCCAGTTCAAAGGGATCCAGTGCCCTGCCTTCTTCTGCTCTGGGCACCAGGCACACATGTGATGTTCACATACATATTTAAGAAAGCACACACATAAAATAAAACAAATCCTCAAAAATTATAATATATCCTGAGATACTATAATCTAAGCCAGTTTTTCACACATTTCTTTTGACTGATTTACAATTTAATTTTTTCTGTGCTATAGAGGAACTTGAGTTCTGTAGGAGTAGAATCCAACACCTTAGGAATCTTGCATTTACTAGTTCTGGCCAGAGTCCACAGCATCAGAGACTGTGCTATCAGATAATACTGCTAAACAGTTCTACTTTCTAGGGTAGCCTGTTCTCCAATAGATTGTTGAAGACCAGACTGCCTTCCCTTCTGCAAATGACCAACTGTGGGAAAACAAGATGATTTAAAAGAAGGTGGGGAGGGGTTCATGGGGCATGATTGGAAAGATGGCTTAGCAGTTAAGAGCACTGGCTACTCTGCCAGATGACCTGGGTTCAATTCCCAGCACCCACAGGACAGCTCACAACTCTCTATAGTAACTCCAGTTCCAGGGACTCCAGCACTCTCTTCTGGCCTCCTTGGGCACTGCAAGCATGTGGTGCACAGACATATATGCAAGCTAAACACCCATACACATAAAAATAAATTTAATTTTTTTTTTTAAAGAAAAGAAAAAGAGCCAGGTGGTGATGGCACATGCCTTTAATCCCAGCACTTGGGAGGCAGAGGAGGCAATTTATGTGAGTTTGAAGCCAGCCTGGTCTATAGAGCGAGTGCCAAGATGGGCTCCAAAGCTACATAGAGAAACCCTGTCTTGAAAAATATCAAAGAAAACGAAGAGAAAAAGATTGACTCCTACTCTATAAGAATTACATGCTGCTGCCCTTTACAGAGCTATTATACTTGTTTTCCCCATTTGGCCTTTTTAGGTGATGTTTTTTGAGATGGGGGGTCTTATGTGTAGCTTTAACTGTCCTGGAACTATGTAGACCAAGGTGGTCTCAGACTCACAGCGATTGATCTGACTCCACTTCTCAGTTGCTGGGATTGAAGGAATGCACCACCACTCCAGGTTACCCACTTGACATTTATTTAATTTTTCTAGCCCACTCCAGTAGGATCAGTTCATGTAGATTCTGGTGCATCTGCAATAACTCGAGAAAGCCACACCCACCGAGATCGGCCATCACAACAACAGCCTATTCGAAATCAGGTATGTGTTAGGTTTTAGATCTTAATCATTCCTCTTCTTTATAACTACTGATAAAACCCAGATTCTCCCTCTTCTCTGTTAGTGTTTATGTAGAGTTAAGAAAAACAGCTGGTTTAGTATGACATTGAAACAACTGTCAGAGCATATGTAAATGCATTGAGATGAGGTATATAGGCTAAAGAATCAGAGTCTGACCACCAGCTATGGTGTCACAGGCCTTTAATCGCAGCACTAGGTGGAAGTAGACAGATCTCTGTGAGTTTGAGGCTAGCTTGGTCTATATAGGGAGCTCCAGGCCATCCAGGGCTTGATAATGAAACTGTGTCTCCAAAAAAAAAAGAAGAAAGAATATGGGCCTGAGGGAGTAGTCTGGTTTCAGGAGACCCGACCGATGGCTGTGAGTTCGGATCTAAGGTCCAAAGGACTACTGGACATGCAGGTATAACACATGGTGTGCTTAGGCTTCTCTGCAGGTGACTCTGGAACTTATGCCAGTTGTACTCTTTGTTTGCTGATAAGGTCAGTGTGATTTGGCTTTTCAGCTGACCTAGTATACACTGGAATCTGCACAGTTACAATCATATCCAGGTTCATTTGAAAGTTGTGTAAGATGCCTTAAAGATATAGTTTAGGGGTTGAGTGTTTGCCTGACACATACAGGGCCATAGGTTCAGGATCTGGCACAGCCATTAAAAAAAGATTCATCTATGTTTAGAGCTCAGTGGGATGGGGCATGTCTTTTAATCCCTGTTCTCTTAAGTTGGAAACAGTGAGATTGCTACAAGTAGAGGCTAGTAATATTGTTATCTCAGAAAGCCAAAAATGTAAGTAGATAAATAAATCTTCACAATTTCCTTTCTAGGGAGGGGAAAGTGAACAAAATCAATGAGATGCAATAGTACAAAATATTAACAGAAGTAATATTGGAAATAGAATTCTGAGTGATATTTTTCTAAAACATTTTCTAATGAAATTCCAGTCTTTATAGGGCCAGGTGTTGGTGGCACACACCTTTAATCCCAGCACTTGGCAGGCAGAGGTTGGCGGATCTCTGTGAGTTTGAGGCCAGCCTGGTCTACAGAGTGTGTTCCAGGACAGCCTCCAAAGCTACTCAGAGAAGCCCTGTCTTGAAAAAAAGAAGAAGAATGTACAGGGCCAGGCAGTGGTGGCACCCGCCTTTAGTCCCAGCACTCAGGAGGCAGAGGCAGGTGGATTGTGAGTTAGAAGCCAGCCTGGTCTACAGATTGAGTTCCAGGATAGCCAGGACTGTTACACAGAGTAACCCTGTCTTAAAAAAAAGAAAAAGAATGTGTAGGAAAAGAAAGGGATAAAAGTGAAACCATAATCATGTCTCTGCCCTTTTTGGGGGTTGGGGTGGGTTTCAAGACAGGATAGACCTAGTCTCATTACTCTTCCCACTTTCATGTTATGTAGGGTCTGTGCTACAGATTGGCATATCGGCACTTGCTGCCACGCCCAATGACCTCAGTCAGTGCCCAGGGCTCACATGGTGGAAGGAAAGAGGGATAAGTAGGGAGCTCTTATTTCCAAGGATCTGGCAAATAGATAGGCCATGAAACTAGGTAACTATAATACAAGGCAGAATAGTTAAGCATTATAAAGTATTACCACTTGGAATTGGTTTTTGTTTTTGTTTGAAACAAGGTCTCTGTAGACCAGACTGGCCTCAACACAAAGGTATCTGCTGATTGATGGGATTAAAGGCATGGGCCACCATGCCCAGTCTCATTTGGAATTCAAAGGATATATTTCTAGTCAGAACATGGCAAATTATTTCACGGGGAGGAAAAAAAAAATGCTGCATTTGAAATGCTCTTGAAAGAAGTAGAGATGGACAAGCAGAAAATTTTCCAAGCAGAAAAATTATGAGCAACAACAATTGCATATCTAATAAAGGAGTCCTAGCAGTCAAGGCTAGGAAAATAGGAAGCTCCCCAAATGCTAGGCTGGAGAATGGCTGGTCCTTAACTTTAGTAGGTACTTGGACTAAAAGGCAGAAGACTGATAATGAGGAAATCTGCTTTAAACTTTTTTTTTTTAACTTGTGTGGGGGAAAAAGAAAATATGAGACCCTGAGTTCAGTTGCTGAACTTTATTTTGATCCAGAGCTATTGTTGGTGACATGAGCTTACAGTGCCAGTGCATGGAAGGTAGGGACAGGAGGATCCCTGATACTCACTGACCTGTCAGCCTCTTGATCCCAATGAGATTTAGAAAAGCAAGGTGGCTGACTCCTGAGGAACATGACTTCAAGGTTGTCCTCTAGCCTCCACATGTACATATATGTGTACATGCACTTGCACTCACATAAACGTATACCTCTAAACATAAACATTTTAGTACTGATCCATACCTCTGAATCAGTCATAGAGCACTTGCTCAGCCTGCACAGGAGCTTCGGTTCAATCATCCGTACACATGTGAGTGTAAATGACGTACACATGTGAGTGTAAATGAATGTACAGTTCAGCTTTCTCTCTCTCTCTCTCTCTCTCTCTCTCTCTCTCTCTCTCTCTCTCTCTCTCTCTCTGTCTGTCTGTCTTAGGTGGTAGCGTTCTGAACATGGTTTCTCTGTGTATCCCTGATTGTCCTGGAACTCTTCTATAGATCAGGCTGGCCTCCAACTCAATATCAGTCTGCCTCCCAACTGCTGGGATTAAAGACATCTGTCACCACCACCTGGCTCTTTTGTTTTAAATTATGTTTTTGTTTTTTATTTTTATTTTTTGTTTTTGTTTGTTTGTTTGGATCAAACCAAGGACCTTACACAAACAAGCCCAGGCAGTGGTGGTGCAGGCCTTTAATTCCTGCACTCAGGAGTCAGAGGCAGATGGTTCTCTGTGAGTTACAGGCCTGCCTGATCTACAGAATGAGTTCCAGGACAGGCTCCAAAGCTACAGAGAAACCTTGTCTTGGAGGAAAACAAAAAACAAATGCAAAAACAACTTTTGTGGAATGAGGTGATAGCTCAGTCAGTAAAGTGCTTGCCTTGTAGGCGTGAGAACTTGAGTGGTATTGGTGAACGTATGGGAAAAAAGCTGGCTGGGGTCTGAAGAGTGAACTCAGCAGTTAGGAGCTCAACAGGATGATGGGTTTCATCCCTCTCCATTTCCCCCTCTCACTTGCATTAATCTCTCCTTCCTGACTAGTCTCTCTTCTACTTTGATACCATTTGTGAGCTCCCTGGTGTTAGTGCTAGGGACTGAACCCTGGGGTTCTCTGGAAGAGCCAGAAAGTGCTCTTAACTGCCGAGCTGTCCCTCCAGCTTCCGTCTTCTTTTGATTTTGGTGGCCATTGAGTTTAATTAGGGTTACTTATAAGGGAATGGACAATTTACTAGTAGCTATAGGGCTGAAGAAACTGTCCTCTAACAACTATTAACTGCTTATATATCCTCAAATAAGGGCAGGTCTTTGAGAAACACTCCTCTTTTTATCTTACTTTTTATTTTTTCCTATTCTGAGACAGGGTTTCTCTGTGTTGAAGCTCTGGCTGTCCTGGGACTCACTCTGTAGACCAGGCCAGCCTCAAACTCACAGAGATCCGCCTGCCTCTGTCTCCTAAGTGTTGGGATTAGATTAAAGGTGTGTGCCACCACTGCCTGACACTTTCTTTTTTCTTTCTTTCTTTTTTTTTTTTTTTTTTTTAATTATGTGCATGAGTGTTTCTTGTTAGCATGTATGCCTTTGTGCCTTGTGCATTCCTGGTGCCCATAGAGGTTAAGATAAGGTCATTGGATCCCCTGGAACTGGAGTTACAAACAATTGTGAGCCACCATATGGGTGCCGGGAACTGATCTCTGGTACTCTGCAAGAGCAGCATGTACTCTGACTGCTGAGCTATCTCTCCAGTCTCCTTTAATCCTTTAAATCTTGAAAAGATGGGCTCTGTTGTGGCACACCTGAAGCAGGGGATTATGAGTGAGGCCAACCTGGGGCTACATAATGAAACCCTGTCTCAAAAAGTAAACACCATTTTGTAGAACTAATACTACATAATAGTGTAAAACTTAAATAGTCTACTTAAACTTTCCTAAATTAGTTGTGTATAGTCTAAGGTTAGAAAAACAGATTTAGTCTATTATCTCTAGGCATCAGATAATGGCATTAAGTTTATAACATGGTATAATTGTGCTATACACCATAGCCTTATTTTGGAAAACTTAACATCTGAATATCTATCTACTGAAGTAATTGGAAGGAAAACATCAGGGTAGTGTGTACTCTTATTTACAGGTCACTACACAGGTCACTGGTAGGATGGTGGTGCGCCAGTTCAAGGCCAGCCTGAGCAACTTAGTAAAACTCTATGTGGCTGGGCGAGAAGGAATGTTTATAATAGTTTGAACTCTCTTGTGGTACTCTCAACATAAAACCCTACCCCACTTTGTAGAAACTACATAGTAAGCAAGTTAATACAGCTACCTCCTTATTGAACCTTCTCATCTCACAGGAAATAACAGCAAATATGGGCAGGATCTTGTGCAATGTTATTCTTATCCATGTGACCTCATGGTCTATTAATAATGATGAGTAAACTGCAGCTTTATAGGACATGTCTTTTTGGTGCCTGACCAGTGAGCTTTAAGCACTTCATATCAATGAAATCCTTAGAGGGAAATAGTATGGAGCCTTAAGCTATTACCTTCTCATGCCTCTTTTTTTTTTTTTTTTTTTTAAACTTTCAACTTAGCATATAAAGTAATAGGCATTATCATGGAAGTTTCATTTCATATATATATGTTATTATACATTGTTATAATTCTTTCCCCTCCACGATTCTCTCCATTTGTATAGAGTACACATTTATAGATACCAGCATTTCTGAGATTTATAGGTTCCTTCCCTAGTATTCATGTAGAGCAACAATATTGCATCCCAACCCCTGCTGCTGCTGTTAATCAGCAGCAATTAAAATTTGGTTTACTAATTCCTCATTACCGCCTCTCACACTACTCGTTTTTTTCATTTTTTATAGTCTTAGAATTATTACAGCTGTGCATCTTGATGTTAGTACCTCAGCCATCTGGCACAGGGCAAGAGGCACCTACTATAGAGTCTTTAGAATGAGAGGTCATATATAAGCAAGCTCAGAGTAGTATGAGATCTTAACAACAAACTGGTAAAGAAGGCATGGAGACAGCCTGAATGGCAGCAAAAATAGAAACAGCCCAAAGAGGTTTTTCATTGAAGGCCATGCTTTTGCTGAATACATATCTGCCTTTTGCTTTCTAAAAGTAAATAAATCACATAGGTCATGTCTGTTAATAAATTATTTCTAATTCCAAGTCTAAAGGTATCCTAAACTTTATTTTTTTGTCTTGCTGTGCTTACTTGTTCTTGGCATATGAGTCTCCTGTAAAAAGATTCTTTGGGGGCTGGAGAGCTGGCTCAGTGGTTAACATCACTGGCTACTCTTTAGTGGACCTAGGTTCAGTTCTCAGCACCCACATAGTGACTCACAACCATTTGTAACTCCAGTTCTGGGGGATCTGACATCCCCTTCTGATCTCCATAGGCACATGGTATACATATATACATTTATGCACACTACTTATACATATAAAACAAATTTTTTTAAATTAATAAGTAAAATATCAAAAAATTAAAGAAAAATACTTTGTTTATTCATTTCTATATGAAAGCATATTCTAACCACTGTTTAGTAAATGTCATGTGGCCAAATACAATGTCTTATGCCTGTAATCCCAGCATTGGTAGGCTGAAGTAGAAGAATTGCTATGAATCCCATACACTAATTGGGGTTACCAGAGTGAGACCATGATTCAGAAATGAAGGGGGAGAAAGAAAAAGGCAGTTTCATGGACATTAATCTTGAGAGTAGTAGTTTACTTATGTAAGGGAAGGACATTGTCTAGGTTGTTCCTCATGTAAAAACTTGTATCTGCTCAGTTATTTAACCATTGAAATTATGAGTGTGACTGTTCACCACTTTTAACTTTCTGAATTTGATCTGCATAGTAGCTACTGCAATTACATGAATGTGAAAGCTGAAGGGTGATGCCCAGCTTTTTGTTGGCTCCCTCCCTACTTTTGTTCAGTACTTTGGACTGATTTGCTGGTTCATTAGTGGAAATGAATATAGTCACAGTACTGTTTCTCAGTGCTTTGCAGCAGTTGTTAATGTCAAGCTCCAAACAGAAACCCTGCAGGAGCATTAATGTACTAGATTTTGTTGTTGCTTTCTGTTGCTTTACCTTTCCTTCCATATCTTGCTGTCATGCTTCCTAATGCCTAAGCAGACTGCATCATCAGAGCGCCGAGGAGAGTGGGAAATCCAGCCCAGCCGGCAGACCAATACCTCATTCCTGACGTCTCACTTGGCCACAGACCGCCATGGGGGTTCAGTACAGGTACCTACTGTCTTCCCTGGCCTTCTCAGCCTAGCTAGTAGAATGTTGGCTTGCTCTTGCAGTTTGGGTTCCTTTCAGATGGCCACTTACAGCAGGGGTGAGTTGCTTCTGTTGAACTGATTGTCTCTGTGCCAGTTTTTCAAGATAATTGCTGCTTTTTGTTACTGACTTAGAAACATCTGTGTGATTTCTGTATTTAGTTAACCCATCCTACAATCTTTACCTACTCAAGATCTGGAAAATATCACCAAGGTAGAAGTGTGTTAGTATCTGAATTGTAAAGTCCTGAAACTTAAATTTGGAGCCTTCCAGTGCTAGAGGTATGATGTGTAGCCCACCCTATGATGATAGATGATTTAATACCTAGTAGCCTGGGAGTATTAATTTGGGGATTTCCTGAACAGATATCCAAGAAGTTGAGCTGTTTCCTATTTTCTCTCTGGAATAAATTTGGTCTTGGAAATTATTTCTGTTTTTATTTGGACTAGCTTGAAGTTTTCTTCTCTGTTTGGTATCAGGTATATTTCTGTCTCTTCACTTTTCTTGTGTACAATCTTTAAAATCCAAACCAGGAAAAAAATTCAATTAAATATTTTTTCTCATACTGATGACCCATTAGTTGTGGTATAGAAATGAACTCCCTGCATGTAAATAAATCTTAATAGGCCTAATCTTCTAGAATATGCTTTTTTAAAGAAATGACTCACTGAAGCCGGGAAGGTGGCACACACCTTTAATCCCAGCACTCAAGAGGTAGAATCAGGTGGATCTCTGTGAGTTTGAGGTCAACCAGGTCTACAAAGTGAGTTCCAGGACAGGCTCCAGAGCTACAGAGAAAAACCCTATCTCGAAAAACAAGAGAGAGAGAGAGAGAGAGAGAGAGAGAGAGAGAGAGAGAGAGAGAGAGAAAAGCAATGACTTACTGAATGATCTTATTATTCATGGGAAGTTAAGATATCTTTTAGCCTTATAAAATATTTCATAGAAACATGAAGGTAAAATGATTAATTGAACATACAGATTTGCTTTTCTCTTTGACTGAAGCAGTGGTAAAGATATCTTTTTAAACTTGATGTGGTGGGGCAGGCCTTTAATTCCAGCATTCAAGGGAGAGTCAGGTGGATCTCTGTACATTCAAGTCCATCCTGGCCTACATAGTGTATTCAAGCCAGCCAAGGTTACATAAAGAGACTTTGTCTCAAAAAGAAAAGAAAAAGAATAAAAAGAATTGTTTAGAGGTATGTATCTATAGAAAGGTGGAAAAAACAACAGCAACAAAATGTTAGAAGTTGAAATATAGCTTAAATAACAGGAAACCTGTAAAGTTGAATCTTAATCTCTTGACCCTGGAATTTCCCAAAAAGCTCAAGAATTGGCTTTCTTTAAGTTGAGGAGTGTTAGCAGGGCATACATTAAAAAGAGTGGTTGAAAGTCTAAGAAGGTAGAGATCCCTACATGCTCCGCCTGCTTTTTTATACAACCCAGGACCACCTGCCTATCGTGGCCTGGGCCTTCCCAGATGGCCCTTGCTTATGTCAGGTTGACAAAAAGTTAACTGTCACACCTATAGTGGATATATATATATATATATATACACACACACACACACACATATAATTAAAAATAAAAAAATCTTGTTTAAAAGTTTTATTAGCATAATATAAATTAGCATTATATAAAATTGGCTTCATTGTAACATCTTCATACATTATATAATGTATTCACCCATTACTCTCTTTTTCCCTCTCACTCTGTAGACCCCTTCTTTCTTTACAACTATTCTAGTGTTTGTGCATGCTGTGTATGTACACAAACACATGCCAGTGAGTTTAATTCCAATTTTTACAGGAGCATGGGCAACTTACTGGTGCCTACAACACTGAAAGAAATGTCCCTTCCTTCTCATAGTAATCACTATCTGCCTATTAATCCTCAGGGAGGGGTACAGACTTCAGCATCCAACACTTCTAATATGAGCAGATAATTAAGGGTTACCATGCTTCTGAGGAAACTTTAATAAGAAAGAAACCAAAGCAAACAAACGACAGCAACAGTATTTTCACAAAGACAGTCTTTGCTAGGCATTGCTGGCGCACACACACCTTTAGTCTCAGCACTAGGAAGGCAGAGGCAGGTGGATCTCTGTGAGTTTGAGGCCAGCCTGGTCTACAGAGTGAGTGCCAGGACAGCCTCCAAAACAATACGGAGAAAAACCAAAAAAAAAAAAAAAACAAAACAAAAAAAACAAAACCAAAGAATTAGTTTTGAGACAGCCAGGGTTACACATAGACCCTCCTGTCTTGAAAAATAAAATACAAATAAAAAACAATCTGCCTGCTACTCTGGAAGACCCAGGTTCAAATCCCAGCACCAACATGACAGCTTACAGCTATTTGTATCTCCAGTTCAAGAGGATCTGATGATCTCTTCTGACCTCCTTGGACACTGAACATACACAGTCCACAGTTGGATATGCAGGTGAAGCACCCATACACATAAATTAATAAAATAATATTTTAGAATGCCCTTAAAAATTGTAACAATTTAAAAACCCAAAATAGCAAAAAAGCAAAGCAGACCAGGCAATGGTAGTGCATGCTTTTAATCCGAGCACTCAGAAGGCAGAGACAGGTGGATCTCTGTGAGTTTGAAGCCAGCCTGCTTTATAGAGTCAGTGCCAGGACAAAAAAAAAGCCTGTCTTGAAAAATTTTTTAAAAGAAAAAAAAAAAATCAGTATACTTGGGACAGCAAGATAGATAGGCCTTGATGACTTGAGTTCATCCCTGGGACCCACATGGTGGAAGGAGAGAACTAACTCCTAAAAGTTGTCTCCAGACTTCCATAAGTATGCAGTAGCAGGTATATCCCTCACCCCCATTTGAAATAAATATATAAAATAACATTTCTTAAGATAGAACGAGATCCTTAGAAGGAAAATAAGACAACCAAAGAATGAGTATGGTCTTCTTTAAGATAATTACCAGAACCCGTTTTTTTTTTTTTTTTTTAAATCAACTTTAAAATTTTATGCTTCATGAATCTTTTCATATGAATTTACGCAGGATATATGTTATCAAGATATGTGAAAACAAGGAAGCATGTATTGGATCTAGGGAACAAGAGGCCCTACTCAACAAAGAAGCAGAGTGACTTGCCAGGATAATCAAATTTAGGAGACTCCAGCTTCCAGTATAGAAGGACAGCTTTCACCAAATTGGTAGTCAAGGGTTTAGGAAGCTGTGTAAGAAAATGACAGACCTAGAGGTATAGCTTAATATAGTCTACTTGTCTAACATACATACAACTTTGGGTTCAATCCCTAACACTGCAGTTAATTATAATAATAATAATAATAATAATAATAAATTATAATAATACATACATACATAAAACTTTTGGTAAAAGTAATGACTCACCATTAATATATGAAAATTAATATATAAAATGATTTTGTTTTTAACTTTTTATTACTTTTAAAAATTTGTTTGCATGTATATGTGTACCACATGTCCAGGTACCTGAACAGGATAGAAAAGAGCACAAGATCCCCTGAATCTAGAGTTAAATGCAGTTGTGAGCAGGTGCTCGGAACTGAAATTGGATATTGGGTCCCTGCAGGGAGCAGCAAGTGCTCGTGAGCACTGGCCTATCTCTCCAGGCTCATATAGTCCTGGCTGGCCTTGAACTTATTATGCAACCAAGACTAACTGTGAACTAATCTTCCTGCCTCTGTGTCTTGAATTATATGATTACAAGCATGTGCTACCACACTTTGTAAAGACTATGTTTCTTGAAAATCAATAATATTTCTACCACAACAGATATTATTCATGTGGTTTGTGTGTGTGTGTGTGTGTATTTTAATTTTGTTGTTATTTGTTTTCCTTTTTTGTTTATTTTGTTTTCTTTTGGAGACAGGGTCTCACTAAGTAGACCAGTCTGTCTTGGAACTCACGAGTTCTGCTCTCTCCTATCCACTACCTCTGTCTCGCTAGTGCTTGGAATAAAAGCATTCACCACTCAGCCTGGCTTGTTCCCCCCCCCCCCACTTTTTTTTTTTTTTAAAGCATGATCTCCCTGTGTATTTCACACTAGCCTTCAGATTACAGTCATCCAGCCTCAGCCTTCTGAGCAAAGCTGGAGTTATAGGGGTGCACTGCCATGTCTGGATATGTATCTGAATTCTTTCACTCTTCAGAGGCACTTTGTGAAATTATGCTGAGCTTAACCTGGATAACCTGCAACACCATCTCCATCTCTCTTGGATGGAGTGTAAATTGCTAAGGTGAAGAACATGTGTTCTGATAAAATGTGGACATTCTGGTTCTAACTTATTTAACAGGCAAGACACCCTGATTCCCATCTTCTAGTATTTCCACAGATATTCTGCCTTAAAGGCCTAAATTCTAGAATACAAAATTTGGATGTGTTGGCACACACCTTTAGTCCCAGCACCCAAGAGGCAGAGGCTGGTAGATCTCTGTGAGTTTGAGGCCAGCCTGGTCTACACAGTGAGTTCCAGAACAGCTAGGGCTATCTATCTTGAACCGTGCCCCTCCCTCCCAAAAAAATAGTAATTTGAGCCAGATATCTTAGAAAGTACCTGTAATCTCAGCTAGTCAGACGGTTGAGGCAGGAGGAACAGTTGAGCTCCGGAATTTGAGGCCAGCCTGAACATCCTAACAAGATGCCATCTCAAAAAAGAAAAAGTACAGCTTCATTACATCTGTTAAGTTCTTTATGGTATGTCAAATCTCTTTAGTGGGCATCATGGTTAACCACCATATAAAATGTGGTAGATAATATGAAAGTTATTGGCCCTATACATGCGTCATTGGTAGAGTTAGATTTATAATCCAGCCCTATCAAAATAGTATTTATTCTGTTGTACATCTAGATAGGAGTCTAGGAATATAAAAAACTCTTCTGCAAACTTGAAGTAGGTTCAGGCTGTAAATGTGTGAACTAATACCTGTTAACTCCCAGATTTTTATTTTTT